CTGCGGAACGGGTCACCACAGGCCACACACTCTCTTCCTGACTAGACCTCTGACCACTATCCTTGCCGAGCGACCCGTGACTGCCCACATGGTATCTGTGAGGCGGGGGTAACCAGTGACTATTCATGGTGCAAATCTGTGATCACAGTACTATAGTGAGTGTGGCTGGTATGCGTATGCATGGATTTGTGTTTTGTACTTATGGATGTGAATTGCTACATGTGATTGTGTATGTTGAATGTATTGGGAAAGTTCTGGAGATGAGTCTCTATGTTGAATGTGTGTTTTAGGTAGTGTAGAGTACTCACCCTTACATTCATTTTCAGGTAATCAAGACGATCAACACCAGACTCAGTGAAGGGATGGATGGACTGCTATAGGACTTAGTTTTTATTTTAAAATTTGTTGTAACTAAACTAGTCTTGCAGCAGTCATTTGATATTAATTTGTAACCCTTCCCTTATTTTGAAGTATTTTATAAAAATTGGTTATTTAAATTTGTGAAATTCTTATTAAATTGAAATTAAATTTAAGGTGTTACAATAATAAATTCAAATCTCAAAGTTAAAGGTATAAACGAGGGATGTACATGAAGTTTAGGGTTGACATATGAGAAAAAGATGTTTAAATTTCTCTTGCTTATTTTAATGAGTCAAATTTTTAAAGTTTGAACTTGCTTTAGTTAATACTAGTAAATATGCTTGTATAGGGTTTGTTTATATTTTTTTATTAAATTATTTTATTTAAAATAATTATAATATATATATATATATATATATAATATTTTAGAAAAATTTATAAAATACTTTGTTATACACAATATTTTTAGTATATTTTATATATTTTTATTGTCTTCAACAATAAAGATTTTTATTAATATTTTTCTGGACAATGTAACATATAATTGATTTTAACTAAACATATGTTTTAGTAAATATAATTCAATGATTATTTTTAATTTTTATTTATTGTCATTGATAGCATATTTTTATTAAAAATTATTTTCTTCTTAAAATAAAACACGACTTAAAGTTATTTGTAGTTAAAATTATTTGTGGAATAAGTATTTTAGAACTAGTGTTGCTTCATATTATTATTTTTGCTTCAATTATCCCCTCTCTTGAATGTATGACAAGGATAATGTGTGACTAATATTTTTAAGTGATTTGTCAATTTTACCGGGCTTGTGATATAATTATTAAAATCAACAATGTCATTTAAATGAGTAAGTATCATTCTTTCTTAATATATTTTTCATCTCATATTTGATGATAAAAAGGACAACAATTAAGTTGAAAAAAAATATTTATGTTAGTACATTATAATTTTTAAAAGTGATAACAAATATGATATTAATATAAAAACATACAAAGCTAATAATAATATGATATAGTAAAATTAGTGTTTTTATCCTCCAACTTCAAAATAAGTTTTGATTTTGCCCTCCAAATATTTTTTTTACTTCATTTTTGTCCTCTAACTTTTAAAAATATTTTAAATAGGTCATTTTTTGATTGAAAACACTAACTTTGTTAAAAAAAAATTATCATTTTATATCATTGTCTTGTCCTGTACGAGTACTATTCATTGTCTCTTTCTTAGATATTGGACTATATCTTTTCTACTTTTTTTTTCTCCTTTCTTTCATCTTAATCTACTATATTAACAAAAATATAAGTCAACAAAAAAAGTTTAATTTTTTCGTTAGGAAGCACTACTCTTCATGTTTGTGCTTGAATACTCTTGAAAAAATTACCAAAAATATTACAACTTCTAAAATAAAAATATTCAAGAATTACATAGTTAGAAAACAAAATTCAAATAATAAATATAGTTTGATATATTTATATTCAAATTAATTAAAAATATATTTTTATAACATTTTAAATATTAACATGAGTCTTTTTGTGACTGTAGATCTTCTTTTGATTATAAATATTTACCCATCTTTTAATGACATTTTAAAAATATAAAAAATAAAATGTTTAGAATGTGATTGAAAGATTAAAGAGGTAAAAAGTTGTCATCGATTTTAATATTTTCTAAATATATTACTTATTCATCGTTATGATATTTAATAATATTTATATTATTTTAATTGTTATCATTAATTAGTTTTATTTTGAAAATTTTGAATTTATAAATATTACTATAACATTTAATAAACAATAAAACATTAATAGATTATAATATTTTTTATTTAAAAATTGAAAATTATCATCATAATTATAATATAAATAGTAAATGAAATGTTTACATTAATGGATTATACATAAATATAATACAGTGTGTTAAATATTAATAAAATGTTTAATTTTATTAAGTATAATTTTTGAAAGTGATTTGCAGCAAGGCCTTTGGAAAGATTGATTATATATGTAAATTAGATTAATGATTCATTAACATGTATTGTTAATTTTTTTTAGAGTTGTAATGAGTTAGAGTATTTCTATATTTTAAATTTATCCTTAATAAAATGTTGATGTTTAACAAAAAAAAAACAACATAAATATGATATATCAATTATTATTAATTATTTTATTTCTAAAGGTACTAAAATAAAATAGTTAAAAATTTTGAATAACAAATTAGGAGAAGAATATTTTTATTTTACATAAAATATTTAATGTTTCTATCAATTAAATTAAAATATATTAGTATGCATAATATTTATGAGTCAGATATAAAATTTAGATAAATATTATTTTAATAATAAAATCAAGAGTGTGACAATAATGATAAAGTAAAAATAATATATATAAAAACATAATTAAATGTCTTGATAAATCATGAAATTGTTAACTTTTTTTCAAACTCCACAAAATCTTAAAAGTATTTCTACAATAATATAAAGAAAAACATTAAATTTTCTAAATTTTTCAATGATGCTTTTGTTCAATATGATTTGGTTCTTCTTTTTCAAATTACAATATAAAAAAAAAATATAAAGTATACATTAAGGGTATGTTTGTTTTCATTTTTAAAAAGAGTTTTTCTTTTTTAAAATTTAAAAATACATGTAATTTTAATTTTTAAAAAGAGAAAACTCTTTTTAAAAATGGAAACAAACATACCCTATTTTTCTCATATTTTTTATAAATTTAGTGTTTTTATAATAAAAGATTCATTTAAAGTTCTTATTATTTTTAATTCATTTTTTTTATATTTTAATTATTTAAATTCTCTTTCTTCCTCAACATGTAAATATTAAAACAATAAAAATAAAGTTCTACATTCTTGTATTATAAATTTTATAAATAAAAAAAATAAAATTTTAATATTACTTTATTTATTAACTTCACTACAAGCCTTAAAATTTTATCCTTCATAATTTTTAAATCTTTTATTTTTACTTGAAAAATATATAAATGTTTATACTATTTAAAAGTTGTAGAAACAACTTCAAATGATCGCCATTGTCCAATAAAAAAATTATTACATAAACATAAGTATATATTTTTAATTGTTTAATTTATATAATTAATTATATAATTAGATTTTTAAATTAACTAATTTTTTTACATATTTACTTACAATTTTAAAAGTTACAATAAAATTTTTTAACTTCATTTATATTAATTATTCAATAACTTCACATAAAATAAATATAATTGAATAAGTAGATTTCTTAACATTAAATTCAAGACAAAATTTGTAATATTTATAAATTAAAAAAATATACCTTAATTTTTAAAAATTATATATTAACAATTAATTTTTTTGTTATTAAATACTTAATCTTTGTACAACAACTTTCAACATCTCTCTTATAATTGATATATATATATATCAATTATATATATATATATATATATATATATATATATATATATATATATATATATATATATATATATATATATTAGCCTAGAAAAGGCAAATCTCAACGCATCCATCCTAAGGAAAGGGACTAAGGAGGGTGGGGGTTTATTAAAATAGAAAAACACGAAACCAGCTTGAGACCCACACTTAGCAAGCCTTTTCAAAGAGAATGACTAAACTTAATAAATTCAACTTTAGACGATAGTAATCTAATCTCCCTAATCACAAAATAAAGGGGATAAGAGTAGGGATGAAAGTTTACAATTAGGAAAATTACATCCAAAGAGTCATATTCTATCTAAATGAAGTGAATATTTTTACTAATAACAAAATAACAAGCGGGATATCCCAATAGATACTCCATAGTTTGACTACTAGGGGAGAGCAAGCCTCTAAAGAGCTATAGTAGCCAGTAACAAACTTGCCTTACTGTTTCAAATAAGACCACTACAGTCAGTAAATTTCAATTTTCTAAAAGTTAATCCATCAACATTGAGTTTAAATTGTTTTTCTAAGGGAGAGTCCATTTAACATTACGTTGTATCTCTATCAAACTAGGAACAATCATATGCTCAGACCTACCACAAAACTGTTAGTTTATCAAATTAAGAACAATCCTGCTTATCCTTTGAATGATAATTTATAGTTCATAGTTACACTATAACAAACAATACTATTCTAAAATTTAATTAAATTTTTTTAATTAAATGATAAAATAAGAAGAATTTTTTTTTTAAATTTACTATGTTACTTGATTTTTCCATATAGTTAAAATTATATATATATATATATATATATATATATTGTTTAAATTTTAGTCTTTATTTTTTAAATTATGCTAAGTATTTTTTTTTCTATTAAGCATTTATTTACTTATATATCTAATTTCTGAGTGTTAATATTCAAATAAGAGCATTTTTAGAGCTGTATAAAAATACTGCTTTTAAAATTTATTATATTTTTATATAATATATTTTAATTTAATATTAATTTAAGTTGATTTATTTTTTAATTTAAAAATTTGTCTCTTTATTTATTTTAATTTTATAAAATATTTATTATTAATAATTATAATGCGTATTAGTTAAAGTTATAAAATTTAAAATTAATCATATATAACCTTTTAATTAATTATTCAAATTTTTTAATTTAATTTAATAATACTGCAAGCAAAACTGGTTAACAACGTATGCAAAAATAAGCATATGGATTGTTGGAGGGGGTGAGGTGAGGTTATGCGTCAGCGCACACGTTCATCTCCCTCTGCTATATTTATTGACCTTTCTTCAACTTTTCCCCAAACTTTCAATTTTTTCAACTCTTTCTTTTCTTCCACTTCTTTGTTTCAGGTAATTCAATCCTCTTTCTGCTTATTCGATACTTCCATTTCAATATTTACCATGTCAAAGTTATTGAACGAAAAACCTTTCTCTTTTTATCTATACTATTATTACTTGCTGTTGATTTTGTTTCAAAGTTGTTGGGGTCTGGTTTGTGGTTTAAGGACGGTTTCGGATTACGAATTCTCCCATGGGTTTCTTCAATTTTCTTGAATTTGGTTGTGGAAGGAGTGACTTTCATTTAAAATTTGTGGAATTATTGTTACTCGTTTTGGGTTTGATTCGTAAGCATGGTTAAATTTTGTCAATTTTGGTTCTGATGTATCTAATTGTGTAACTTGATATAGATTATGGTTCAATTTATGAGAAGTTTTTGAGTTGGGATCCGTAGTCGCCTTGGAAGAGTTTTGAACACTTCGATTTTAATCAATGTATATATATATTTTCCAAGTGTTGGCAGTTTGGCACTCAGATGGGGAGGGAAAATTTTTTAAAGGCTTTTGATTGAGGTAAATTTACGTTGAAAGTTCACCTTAAGGGTATCCCTACACACAAACACACACACACACAGAGAGAGAGAGAGAGAGAGAGAGAGAGAGAGAGAGAGAGAGAGAGAGAGAGAGAGAGAGAGAGATGTTTGTTGTGTATGATATTGCTTTCAAAGAATTGTTTGTATCACCAAAAATATAATCAGTGGAAAATTCCAAGACATGTTTTGATTCTTTTAATTCTTGTAGACCAAATATGCAACACCAATCAAGCCAACTTAACATCTCTGTTACATGGAGGGGAAAGAAGTTTGTTGTAGAGATGAATATAGGTGCCACTGTGAAGGATCTAGGGCAGGAATTACAAATGCTAACAAATATCCAAGAAGATACCATGCGGCTCATTGTTCCACAGACTTCTGGCAGAACATCAAAACTCATAGCCCCCTTTTCAACGGAGCATGCACTTTTAAGTTTGCAAGAAACTTCAATTACTGAGGTATTGGCAGTAAAATATGGTTCTTTGTGAGGTTCACTCACATGAATATAGATTTTAGTGTTTTATAAAATTTTGCCTAGTATTAACTGGTTTTCCACAATAATTTTATAATTTGTTCTATGTTACCTAAAATGCAAGTTTAAATATTTTTCATATTTGAACTAAACTATCATTGAGTCCTTAGGCGAGAACCTCTATTCTTATTATAGATGATAAGCAATTGATTGTTGGCCTTCGACACATATTCTTCAGCTGAGTTGAGTGGTTTTACTATTCTATTTGATATGAAATAGGAATCTGAGCCTTGAACCCATTTGTCATATATCCAAGAGGTGGCCCAAAGGTGGTTGTGACATGAGTTCCAAATTAAGTTAAGTGGGAAGAATGGTGAGCTGCAAGAGAACATTGTGAATGAGTAAAAGTTGGCATATAGGTGGTGTGTTATAGACTTATTTGTCTTGGGGGAGGGTGGCATTTGGGAATATCTTTTGCATTGGCTGTAGCCATTCTTGAGGGAGATTTACTCTTTGTAGTGAACATTTCACTTGGAAATATCTCAGCTGCGATTGTTCTTCCCTACTTTCCTTGGTATAACAATGATTAATAATAAGATTATCCATATATTTCCATTTTTTGTCTAGTGAGTGTTTCTGTTCTTATTACTAGTCCACCAACTATTTTATGTTTATTTCCATACTTATCAATAGCGGTGCTATAGTGGAATCGCAGAGTGGCCATAGGCCACTATAAAAAAGACACTGTTTTGTCGGATTTTTTATTTTTATTTACTTGTATGTTTTGCTTAAGACCTTTAACCTTTTATTTTTAATTATGAACATTTCATACATTTTGACTTCTTTTTCTTAATTTTTTTAGCATTTATATATATAGTATTATTTATTTAATTTGTATCTAAAATTTCTAAACAGCAGCCATTTGCTATTCACTATCCCGCCTTAGCAGTTTTTGTATTGGTTGCTACGCGGAGCTATCCAAGATTGATAACTATGTTTATTTCCTCCATTTTGGATTGCTACTGGACTCAATTTTTTAAATATGGAAGAAAGTATTGGGTATATCATGTTAGGTTATTTGATTAAAAGGTAAAATACAATGCACTCTCTTCCAATTAGCGTTTCTGTTTAGAAACACTTTTGAGTGCAACAAAAGTAATCTTTTTGTTATTAACCTAATTGTTTTCTTCATAAGGATTCATTGAATTGCTTTTCCAAATAAAAGTCCTGCTTCATTCTATTTATGCTTGTGATTAGCACTGTGTTACCACTGGGAATGGTGGATGTGTTGAATAAATTATTTAGCTTATTGTTTAAGTCACTATTTTTTCTTTCCAGGCCAGGTCTATTATAATGATGGGCGTATCTACAAATGAGGTTGAAGAGGTTCTACAAAATGAAAAAGCAAATTTAAGAATAGCTGGATTTGAGGAGGAGGAAAAAAGAATGAAACAGAGAATTTCACATGGACCTTCTCTTCCATTGAAACTTCCACAAGGGCCCTATATATTTTGTGAATTCCGCACACTTGAAATTCAGGGATTAGAGGTATTATTTTTCTGTATTATTAATGTTTTCACTCAAGTAAAGAATCATGCACCTCTGATATTTATCTTTTATCACTCCGTACTTATTCATAGACATTATTATTACTGATATGGTGTTTTGGTAAAATAAATATAAAAATTCTTATAGTATAAGTATCAATTTACTATATGATTATTTTTTAAATTTTAAGGTTTTAGTCATAAAGCTAGAGAATAGAACAAAATACAGTGAAATTGATATTGACTTGATATGATATGATTTGTTACAATGTGATGATGATATGATATATTAAGCCTAAAACACTAACCCTTATTTATACTAATCATAATCCTAGCAAAATGAGGAAACAAATCATGAGAAAAAAAGATGGAAACTAATATTAAAGATAATCTAAGATATGATAGAGATTTTATTGGATATTTTCATATATTATAATGTTCCCCCTCAAGTTATAGCTAAGCCTTGAGCTTGTTATAATTAAACCTTTCTCTAAAGATAACATGGGCTACACCACATGTTTAGATGACCAACAATCAGGTTTGATGCAACCCACACAACCACAAACACAAATAGAAGGGAACAGAAACAAATAAAGGATTGCAAAATTGGAAAGAATATTATTGATAACAGGTAACGGACAGAATAGAACAAAATGCACTAGGAGAGCAACACCTTCTAATACCCCAGAGCTAGGCTCCTAATAAAGAGCAAATGCTTCTCTATCCTGCAATACCAAAAAACAGAATCATCATATCCTCCTACCCCTCGCCTCATCATGCCTAAATAAGGGAATATTATTCACTCTCCCTAACTAACTCTGCCAGCTCAGCATTTCATTTGTCCTTCTCTGATTTCTTCTTTCTCACATAGACAAGCCATTCTTTGGGCTGTGTAACTGCTTCCTGGACTAACATTTCCTTTGGCCCAACATTGCCTTTTGGGTCCTCATCATTTCCCCCTCCATCAAAAAGAATCTTGTCCTCAAGATGCAGCTGCAGAAATTGACTCCGAATGTCAGTTGCATTCTCCCATGTAGCCTCCTCTACTGGTTTGTCTGTCCACTGAATCAACCACTGTCTCACCTTTTCACCATGTTTATCAATCACCCTTGAAGGCAACACAGTCGCAGGAGTCCAAATGTCTTCTCCTGCTTCCCCTAAACCTGCTGCAGGTAGCTCAGGTTGTACCTGGTAGTTCCCCACTGCCTTTTTAAGCAAGGATACGTGAAAAACTGGCTGTATCCTGCTTGTTTCTGGTAACTTAAGACGATAGGCTACTGCCCCTACCTTACCAATTACTTCAAATGGCCCGTAGTACCTTGCTGAGAGCTTGGGATTGATTCTTGTATGAACTGACTTCTGCCTGTGAGGTTTCAGCTTCAAGAACACCCATTCTCCTATGTCAAAGCTTCATTCCTGTCGTTTGAGGTCTGCCTGGGCTTTCATGCGCTCTTGTGCCTTCTGCAATTGCTCTCTCAGCTGTTTCAAAGCCTCATCACGTTCCAACAGTTCCTTCTGCACTGCCTCAACCCTTATCTCTCCTTGAGTTCCCCGGATTAAAGGAGGTTTCCTGCCATATACCACTTCAAAAGGAGTGACTTGAGTGGAGGCATGAAATGTGGTATTATACCAATATTCAGCCCACGGAAGCCAATGAACCCACTCTTTAGGCTGATCTGTTATAAAGCAACACAAGTAAGTCTCCTAACACCTATTAATCACCTCGGTTTGACCATCCGTTTGCGGATGGTAGGCCGTGCTCATGCTTAACGTAGTTCCTTGTAGCCTAAAGAACTCCTTCCATAATTGACTTGTAAAGATGGGGTCTCTGTCATTCACAATTGACTTGGGCACTCCATGTAATCGCACTATTTCACGCACAAACACCTCAGCCAACATCTTTGCGGTATATGGGTGTTTCAAAGGGATGAAATGACTGTATTTAGATAATCTATCCACCACTACAAAAACAGCATTATACCCCTTAGATCGTGGCAGCCCCGTTATGAAATTCATTGAAACATCCTCCCAAATTCTCTCCGGTATGGTCAATGGTTGCAACAAACCCCCTGGTGATGTGGCTAGATATTTTTGTCTTTGGCATGTATAGTGTTCTTCATTCCTCTCCACTTCAGGTTGGCTGCCATCCTCTGGTACGTTCTATAATACTCCGAATGTCCTCCTTGAGGTGTTGAGTGGTATTCTTCCAATAACTTGGAGATCCAAGGAGACTTTTCTGAAATAACTAGCCTATCCTTATAAAATAGGATGCCTTGTTTGTAACTGAACCCAGTATGATCCTCTCTCCCTGCTTTCAAATGCTCAATAATCTCCTTTAGCCTACATCTTCATGCACCTCTGCAATAACTTCTTGGATATCTAACCACAATGGGTAGTATGTTAACACGTACTTATGTTAACACTCGTACTTCCCCATTCTCTTCCTCCTTGATAATGCATCCACCCCTCTTTTTTCAATTCCAGGCTTGTACACAATGTCAAAATTATAGCCAAGGAGTTCCATCATCCAGTTTTGCTGATTTCCTGTGATCACCTTTTGTTGAAGTAGTTGTTTTAGGCTCTTATGATCCGTGGCTACCACAAGTTTCCTGCCCAAAAGATATAGCCGCCAATGATTAACTGCCAAAGCGATGGCCATTAACTCTTTTTCATATGCTGACTTGCTCAGATTCTTCACCCCCAATGCCTTACTAAAAAACACGATTGGATGCTTCTTTTGCATGAGAATGGCCCCCACTCCTAATCTAGAAGCATCACACTCCACTGTGAACTCTTCAGCAAAATTTGGCAAGGCCAACACAAGAGCACCTTGAGCTGCCTCATTCCATTTGAATGAATCCTTTTTGGTAAGTTTTGTTAATGGTTTAGCCACCTTCCTATACTCTCTAATAAACATCCTATAGTATCTGTGAGGCCGAGAAAACCCCTTACTCCTTTAACATTCCAAGGATTGGGCCAATCTAACACTCCTTGTACCTTCTAAGGATCTACCGCAACTCCCTGGTCTGAAATGATGTGTCCTAGGTACTCAACACTTTTCTGAGCAAACAAACACTTTTTCTTGTTAGCAAAAAGTTGATGAGCCCTTATAACCTCCAATACGTCCTCTAATTGCTCCAAATGAAACTCCCAATTCGAACTGTAAATTAAGATATCGTCAAAGAAAATAAGCAGGTACCTTTTGAGCCTTCCATGAAATATGTTGTTCATCAAAGCCTGAAATGTGGATGGTGCATTCATTAGCCCAAAGGGCATTACAAGATATTCATAATGTCCCTCGTGCGTCCTAAAAGCCGTTTTTGGGATGTCCTCCTCCTACATCCGCACCTGGTGTATCTGGATTTAAGATCCAATTTCGAAAAGAATTTAGCCCTGTGAAGTTTCATCCAACAACTCTTCTATCACAGGCATAGGAAATTTGTCCAGAATTGTCACTTTATTCAAAGCTCTGTAGTCTACGTACATGCGCCACGGCTGATCCTTCTTATGAACCAATATAATTGGGCTGGAAAACGCACTTTGGCTGGGACGAATAACTCCATTTTCTAATAGCTCCCTGACCTGCTTCTCTATTTCATCCTTCTGGTGGTATGCGTACCGATACGCGCACATTAATTGGGCCATGGTTAGGTAGAAGAGTTATGTGGTGGGATTGGGCCCTCTTAGGGTGAAGCCCTCTGGGTTCTTGAAAAATGGCCTCAAATTTGTTCAAAACCATTTCTAACTCTTCCTTCTGTTGCGAGTTTAGATGCATCAACTCTGATTCTTTTCCCTTGGTGCTATTGTCTTTCGCAGCCATCCTCTCGCCAACGCCCCACCTAGAATCCTCAACCACGACGCCCTTTAACTCCATATGGGCCAAACGCACATCTTGCGCTCCTTGTAATAGCACTAAGGTTCCCCCTACATTAATCTTCATTGTTTGGAGTTTCCAATCCACTATCATCTCCCCCTAACTAACCAAGAAATCCCCAAAATCATATCCATGTCTTCGAGGTCAAATAGTAAGGCATCCACCATGCAACGCATGCTCTCCAATTCCACTTCGAGCCCTTTACATATGCCATTCGTTTTGGTTTTTCTTCCATCTCCCATCAGAATCTGCATGTTCTTCGTTGTTACTTTTCTCCATCCTAGCGCCTCGACAAGCCTCTGAGAGATGAAATTGTGCGTTGCTCCACTGTCAACAAGCACAAATACTAGGATTCCATGAACCCTACTTCCAATTTGATTGTTTGGGGCTGTTCCCCTTTTGATTGCGATAGCAATAACAGACTAAGTACATTGCACTCCCCATCGTGTTCTTCTTCTTCGGATGCGTAGTATTCCTCAGTTGCGATGTCTTTTCCTCGTCTCCACATCATCAGCTAACATAATTCGCAAATGCTTTTTTGGACATATGTACTGGGGAGAATACACACCTCCACACTTAAAGCACAGGCTTTTTTGCTTACGTTCCAGCAAATCATTATAGGATAAATGTTTAAATCCTCTATCCTTTGGCCCATGTGTGGATCTGTCGAAAAATTCTTTTATGATTAGAACCAGGCCCATTAGTACCACTTCCAAACCCATAGCTTTTTACACCACAGTCCTCACTTGTTGGGTTCTTAGCATTGACATTCATGTTGGATCTCGTATGCCACTGTGACCCCGCATGTGAGTCTCCCTTCCCATATGAATTTACAGTTTTGCTCTTCACCTGCAACTCCATCTCTACCGCCCTCGTCACGTTCATTAGGTGAGCTCTGGAAAGCGTCCCCAACACGTGCAGGCTTTGTACCTTGCTTCTAATCTCCTCCTTCAAGCCGTGAAGGAAATAAGCAAAATACTGTTGTTCTGGGATTTTAGGTACTTGTGCAATAAAAAATTTGAAGTCTCTAATGTACAGGTTGACATCTCCAACCTGACGAAGTGCTGTCAATTGATCGTAGGCATTCTCCTCCTCCAAACCTCCATATCTATCCAGCAAAGCTCTTTTAAATTGTTCTCATGTCCTGTCCTCTTCTTCATTCATCACAGAGTTGAAAAAATGTATGGTCCCCCCTTGATGTGTTTCTCAATGGCAAATTGGGAATAATTGGACCTTTAGGGTTTGGACCTTGGAGAAATTCAAAATTCTGAAAGAATTGGGGAAGAATTATTCACGATAATTGAGTCTTTAATTGATTGGGATTAAGTTGAAAAGAAAAAATGCAAAATTGAGTTATTAAAAAGGAAAAATTTGCGTTTCCTTATTAGGGAAACGAAAATGGAAAGAAAATGATGTGGTGATGATAATTAAGGAAATAAAATGCAGAATTTATAAAAATTAGAAAGTTTAGGTTTCCTTTCTAGTTGAAATTCGAATTTTGGAAAAAAGGGGAATTAGGGTTCAATCATGTGGGAATTGGGGAAAATTGGAAATGGAATGAAAGAATCACTCTTTCACTAGGTTAGACATGCACACAAAGGGGGTGAATATCCTTTGATAAACTTAGGTTCTTGAATCACTCAAGAAATCTAGAGAATCACTCTCTAAGTTTGCCAAGGCTGAATTTTCATTTAAATTGATCATCCATTCAACTTTGTGCCACTCACCCTTAAGCAATGAGTTAGTGGCTGAAATTATTACAACAATAATGTTTATTCAAAGTCCCATTAAGCTCCACTCATCAAGTTTCACTTAATGATCATTTTGTAACCGAAATAGGCAACTAAAAGCACCGCTCTCTCTCTCAATAATACAGCCAATCAACGGATGGTCCACCTAGGCATTATTCAGCTCATAATTAATTAAAATAATAACCCTCAATGGCTGTTTTTGGCACTCCTAGTTCAGCTACAAACTTAAAGGAATTGGACCATTTAACATATTAGCCCATTATTAAAAAAAAAAAAACCAAGTTCCAAAACAAAAACATGTGCACGCCAAAAATAAGCATTGGGTTTTCCTTGCGTACTTTAAGCCATCACTCTTCTAACTCTTGAATGCAATTCACCATTTTGGGCCTCTCTTGATTCATGTTGGCTCCTCTCCAAATAATGTGATCATGGCTTGTTAAAGGGTCTCCTTAATCTTTTTGGTTCTTGCTCTTGTTATTGGGCTTCCAAGTCCTTGAAATGTATTGGGCTCACTGGGCTCCTTGTCCTTTGACTCTTGTTCATGATCTCTCAAGGCTTGGTCTCCATCACCCCTTCCATACAGAGTTGTGCCAAATTGACACGGACTTGATCGCTAGTCTCCTGAACTTGGATGTAGACCTCTGCCCTAGAAATCCAACCCACAGGGTCATCCCCATTGAACATGGGTAGTTCAACCTTTTTAACTGACTTACGAAACTCATCCAGTGCTTCGCCTTGTAACTTCTTAAGGCCCAATCCACTGCTCCCTGGCGACTTCTCTAGTGAGTTGCTGCCTGGACCCTTCTGGTTCTTGGAGCTTTCTCCTTCATCTTCCGACTCTCTGCTATTTCGTTCTGAGTGCTTTGACAGCATTTCTAAGATATTCGATTGGGTCTTGGCATTCTCCTTTCTCATCGCCTCTATAGCTTTCTGATGTTCCTGAGCCTGGAGATGCATCACCTCCATTGATGTTCTCATCCCCGAAAGTTCTCTTTCTACAATCTCCAGCCTAGAATCCATCACTGAATCTCCTGTCTTCGACTCAGCTGATTCTGATACTGACCTTATCTGTTTTTTCTTCTTAGGTGGCATCCACCGTCCAAGGATCTGGCAGATCAGACCACTGATGCAACCCACACAAACACGAACACAAATAGAAGGGAACAGAAACAAATAAAGGACTGCAAAATTGGGAAGAATATTATTGATACCAAGTAACGAACATAATAGAACAAAATGCACTAGGAGAGCAACACCTCCTAATAGAGAGCAAATGCTTCTCTATCCTGCAATACCAAAAAACAGAATCATCATATCCTCCTACCCATCGCCTCATCATGCCTAAATAATGGAATATTATTCCCTCTCCCTAACTAACTATGCCAGCTCAACATTTCAATTGTCCTTCTCTGATTTCTTCTTTCTCCTCCTCACATAGACAAGCCATTCTTTGGGCTGTGTAATTGCTTCCTGGACTAACATTTCCTTGGCCCAACATTGCCTTTTGGGTCCTCATCAAGGTTCTATCAAGATATTGGTTGAGAAGACTAGGTGTCATGCACTTGACCAGATATATGTGCATAGTGAAGGCTGGACACTCAACAAATTGGGCTCAAAATGAAGGCTGGGCACTCACAATTTGTCCGCAATTAATGCTAACAGCTACAGTAATAGCGGTGCTGTTGTGTCTAGGCCAAAAATGACTAAAATGAATCTTCTGATGGTGATTCTAGTTTTGACCAATAGTGTAGAAGCAATGAAGGTTACTGCTAGATGGATGCCATGAAGGTGCCTAGATTTTTGCCTGAGGACTTCACCGATAGCTGTTATTGGGCTTAATGATGGTCAAAACTGCTAGATGTCTTCCATGAATGGTGGCTGGGAAGGTGGTGTTTGGTGCTCATGTTCCACCACATGAAGACAGAGCTACTATTTGTATTACTAAAAATATGCGTGAGAGTGCATGTATAGTCTAAATGAAGCCCATAGACTGATGAAAGAGTGACACTCCTGTTGGGGTCGTTGATCAGAAATCAAAGGTGGTAGGTATCAGCGGAAGAGAATATCTGTGCAATGAAGGCACAAAGGGAATCCGAGACAAAGCAACAGCAGTGACAGACTGTGACAGCAAAACAGAGATCGCTATGAGGGATAACAGCATGGAAATAAAATTAGCTCTAGGTTTTGGGAAGTGATAGCACATTAGTGGTGGGGCAGGTTATAGAGAATGGTATTGCTTTGATCCTATAATAAATTATGGCTTTAGGTATAGAGGGAGCAATTAGAGACAAAATACTATGAAATTGATGTTGAAATGTTGTAGTGTAATTTGTTAAAATGTGTGGTTATGATACATAAAAGCTAAATCACCAACCCTTATTTATACTATCATAGGCTAAGTGATGAAAATTCATAAAATATTAGAAATCATGGAAACTAAAGAAATAGGAGATAATGAGAAACTATGAAACTTATCCTATAGATAATCTGAGAGACTAGATATGATAGAGATATTATTGGATATTGTCATGTATTATAAAAATTATTAGTGTTTGTATTTGAGCCAAGTTATTTAAACTGAATCTAAAGTCAACTGATCATGGATGAATTATGCTTTCCCTTATCTTCAGCTGAATCCTCCCCCTTCTGAGTCACTTAAAAGAATGCACATGCTGGCTGCAGATCCTGGAATTGTTGCTGTTATGAACAAGGTACACACTCAAATTAATTTTTGAGTTAGGTAATACATAACTGTTATAATGACAAAATGCTACGTATTCTGAATAAGTTTTTGATTTGCATCTTATACAGCATCGTTGGCGTGTAGGAATTATGACTGAGATGGCTCCCATTGGTTATGTTGGTGTTAACCCAAAATGCATTCTTGGTTTTAACAAGGTATTGGATTCTTAAGGATGGGGAAACATGAAATTTTAAGTATCCAGCAATATCCTATAGTTGATTTCTCTTGTTTTCATTCTTATTTACAGAATCATGGGGAGGAAATATCATTGCGTCTTCGAACTGATGACCTCAAAGGCTTCAGGAAATATGAAAGGATCAAGAAAACTCTACTGCATGAACTTGTAAGTTATATAATTCACTGGATGTATCATGTGAATTTTTTATTGATCTATACGTATTTTAAATAAGAAAATTTGGAAAAAACATGAAATACGATTCTCTATTTGACAAATGAAATTATCAACCTAACTCATGCTTTATTTCAGGCTCACATGATATACTCTGAACATGATGCAAACTTTTATGCTCTGGATAAGCAGGTGGATGCACAGGGCACAGGCTTGAGTATTTGTCTGTTAGTCGATTATTATACTCTGATTTAGCACCGTATGTTGATTTAATTCATTTCTTTGGCAGTTAAATCATGAAGCTGCTAGTTTAGATTGGACTAGATCTGCAAGCCACACTTTGAGTGGAATGAGGAATTCTGCTGTCTATGAAGATGATTTTGTAGCAGACGCTAGCAGTATTTCTCAGAAACTTGGAGGTAACGAGACAGATAAGCTAATAAGTGCTCGGGAATCTTCAATCGCTGCTGCTTACCATCGGATGGCTAATGTTTCTGCCTACAAGTTGGGAGTGTCTGAAGTGAATCAAGAGTTGGATCCTGATTACTCTAGTTTTAATATGAGTGAAAAATCTGATTGTATATCTGCCTCCAAAGAAATCAAAGATATTGACATGCCCATGATTGTTGAGAGAGAGCTTGATGGTGAGCCTGACCCTGGTGATCAAAGTATGAATATTATCAATGGAATAAAAGACGAGCCAGATCCAGATGATTCTCATCATGATATAACTGTCGGTTATGATACTACTTTAGGAATTACTGATAGCAGAACTGTATTTGTACAAAAACCTAATGATATTGGTGTAGCCCAAGCTTTGAATTCTGGGACAAGTACCGTGAATATGGCTGCAACATACACATCTAATGATCCTGAGCCAGATGATTCAGAAACATCTGTGAAGTCTATTGCTCTGGCTGCAGGTAATTTTTCTCCAGAAATGAGTAGTCTATGTAGGCTTATCTTGTCAAGGATGGGCATTTGTAAACCTGACAGTGATGACTTGGAAGCAGAAAAGAACAATTTAAAACACAGAAACTGTTGAACTCAAGTATTGAACACAAATAATTATATTTTACTAAAACAATCTTGTATGTAGACCTGATTTGAAGGACGGTACATCAGCTACACAGAATTTCTCTTTCCTCCTTCAAAACACCACAGACAACAAACTTTACACATTAACTCCCTGCAGGTCTGTCACACCACCCATTTAACAGCATAACTATCATACCTTAAGACATAACTGCCTAACACCGAATTATTTGGTCTGTTTTCTATTTTTCCTAACATAAGCCTTCAATGGCCTCAAGCCTTCTCCTTCAGCAAGTACAACCTAACATGGTCTATCAGAAACTGTGTGTTGCTATTAGGAACTCGCCTTGGAAAGACAAGAATGATATTTATGCTTGATTGTAAATGAACTGAATAGGGAGAGAGGTCTCTCCTCTAAGGCTTTCCCCTTTTACAACAGGTTTTCCTTCTGACAATGGAGCACTTGCTTGATCTTCTCAGAATACAACTCCCTGAATCACATCACTACCATACTTGTTACTTCTCTTCCACCCCCATTTAATTATTTAACTAATCTTCTCTAACTAATTGTTCTAATTGCCTAAACTAAGTACTTTGTCTTCTCTTTTCTTTCAAGCGACTACCAGTCTGTCCAAACTGTTATTTGTTTCAGTTGGTTCCATATTTTCCTTAATGATACATGTTAATTTAATGAAAGAAATGTGTATAAGGAACCTGCTCATGGGTGAATCTTATGCAGAAATAAATGTGATGGCAGAACCTGATCCTGATGATGTGGTTCCCACACCAAAATTATCTACCCTGCAAACTGATGAGCCAGATCCTGATGACCAAGAATTTCAGAGGATAAATGATACCACGGCTGCTGTCTATAGCCGTTTATTGAAGGCCCTGGAAATGTTAAGAAGTACAGCTAGTCCAACACAGGCTTCTTCAGTCCTCCAAACTCTCTTGAAAATAATTAGGTATGCTTATTCATGCTGATGATGATTGAGTGAGCATTGATACCCTTTATGAGTTGAATGGACACCCTCTTGCTTTGGCTTTAGATTTGAGAAATTTCAGAAAAAATACTTTTAGTAATTTTATTTGTAGTTAGGACGGTAGGCATTCTATTCTGCATGTATCATTGTCTTTATCTGATTGCAGGAATGTGATTGAACACCCTGAGGTGGAAAAATACAAGAGATTACGGAAGGTATATATAATCTGTTACCTCTTGCCATGATACCAGAGACATTGCTTTATCCTAAGATTTCCTTAAAAAAATTTATATTTCTATATAACGAACATTCTGATTGCAGGCTAATTCAGTCATTGAGAGGAACATTGTAAATAATGAAGGTTTGTATCTTTTGACCATTGGGTTTTAATTCAGTAGTGCTTCTTGTGTACAACAGAGTTTCTTATGTGCAGTAGTAAAATCTGAATGGCAGCGCCCGGATCATAAACTACTTAGAACTAATATACCATGTAACGGATTTCACTAGATAGCAATACCAAAGCAGATATAACAATTTCTTAAATTAATAAATTTTTCCAGTAGTTGATGCTAATATTGTATATGCGTAAATATGAGCATTATCTTTTTCATTTTTACTGCTGCAGCTGCCTTGGAAATTCTCATTTTGGTTGGCTTCACTGAAGATGTTATGTTTGACAATCTTGGGAAGGAAGAAGCTTACTTGGTGTTGAAGCGGAATGATCCTGGCTTATTGTGGTTAGCTAAGTCCATCCTTGAATCACGCTCAAGCATAGCTTGCTAGCTCAAAAAGCAATTCTGAAAGACAGCAAAGTTGTTTCTGGAAGTATGCTATATACAAGATTTCCATTGTAAGATATTTGGGTGAGTAAAGGTTGACATTTCGTATTGTCAGTCAGTCACTTGTCAAATAGATGATATTGAACACGTGGAAACAATTGAAGTCCACACTGAAACATGGTATCATATCGATGGTACTTTTCCAATTGTTGATTGTTCATTGTACAATGTGGTCATTCTGTTGTATTCTAGCGATTGTCAATAATTGGTTAAATAAAAGGAATTTATTAGTGCCTGTATTTCTTTATGGTTGGCATTTGGGAAATCACATTTGAAAGCGCGAACTGGATTAACAGTAAAATTTGTCACTTCTGGCTACACACATCATTGATGAGAAAAATCCTGTTACGCTTCGACACCCTACACTTTGATAAAACACCGATTCAAATAATAGGAATTTAAAGAAAGAAGATTGAAGAGACTCCTCTATTATGGAAAACAGAGCAGCGAGAAATTTTTCTGCATAGCATGTGATGCCACCTGCTCATGATGCAACACGTGTATATTTTTTTCTCAAATTATAAAAATTTGACATTTTCTGTAACTGTGTTCGGTATATTTTAATAAGATTTAATGACAAAAGTGGTTTAGAAAAGTTGAAATAAAGGTAATAAAGTTTTAAAAATTAAAATGATAAAAAGGAAGAATTATAAAAAAAATAGAAAAATTAAAAAAAAAAAAACTTTCATCTAATAGATGAAAATAGCATTTAAAACAATGCTAGTGTTTAAAAAAATGTTAGTAACTAGCTATTTCACCTACCTTAACAAACATAACAATTTTTATTAAACTAGCTTTTGAGTTAACAAAACAGACTTTTAGGTAACTGTAGTATCTTGTCAAACACACTATTTATTTTAATTCATTTAAAATTGTTTATCATCTTAAGAATTAGGTGATAATTTATTAAATAGAATAAGATAATGAGTAATTTCACATAATTATATTAATTATTTTATGTTATAAAAAAATGAAATTTGATGATATTAGAAATCCATTACTTTTTGAAGCATTGAATGTTATGACATTTATTTATTATTTGTAGCATATTTCTTTCAACACAAATGTACATTAAAATTGAATTAAATAAACTTTTTTCTTCGTAGTTAAAATTATTTTATTTCTAATTTTTGTATAAATAAATCTTTTGAATAACATTTCTAATGAAAAAAGCACCGCTTTGATTAGAAGAGAAATGAAAATAATTTAGAAGAGTTAAACGTGACAAAAATAAGGTATTACGCAATTAAAAACTGAATGAATAAAGTAAACAAAAAACTCGAGTAATAGGAACAAAAGTAAACAACAAATAATTTCAACTGGTAGCTGACGAAGATATTGTTACTGTTAATGCAAGCACAAACAGTCTAAATGTCTGTTATTTTTCTGAACATCTAATAAGGGAAATTTTGCAAGATGATAGTACCCTAACCCATTTAGGAATCTTCACAGAAGTATAGTTCAAGCTATTAATTACGACTTAGATATCTGTGTTACTAAAAGCTGCCAGAGTGTAAAAATAATTGGGTATTGGGTTGTTTAATAAAATTTGTGATTTTTCGTTTTCATCTTCATTTATATTTTTTTTCAAAGTTCTCTAAAATAGTTTTTATTTTCTAAATAGTTCCTTTATTAATGATTCGTTACTTTTCTATAGTACGTATCTATGTAATATTTAACTTCACTCATATAATATAACATAAAATTGATGTGAACGATGATATAAAATGTAAACTTCTATTTCCTTCATATTTTTAAATCTTATTTTAAAAGTCTTAACTTTACAAGCTAGATTTATTTTCTATAATACAAAATATATGTTATTAATGACACATTTTGCCTATGTTATGCCCCAATCAAATTACATGAGTTAACTTAATATTATGTAACAAATAATGAAATAAATTAATAAATTACTAATAGAGAGATTTGACTGAAATAAATTTTTGAACTAGATTGAAAAAAAATTAAAAAAGAGGGACCAAATGAAAGAATTGTAAATTTTTGAATAATCAAAACATTATTTAAGTCTAATATAAATTAATTCATATTATCTTATTTTATTTAAATAAATTTTAAAACGAGATTAAAGTTAAAAATTTATAATTTTAAAATATATAATTGTTAACTTTTAAATTCTAGATTAAAAATTAATGATGTTATTATATGTCATTGTTTTATATTTATCAATTATCAAACACTTTCAATGTAATCAACTAGCTTCTCAACTTCTATCTTTTAGGTTAAAACTAGTTTTACCAAACACACTTTATATTATCAAATTTTAATATCTAGTTTAGTAATTAATGGTAACATTATTTTACATTTATCAACTAGTTCAAGAACTAAATTTATAAAACTTTTAAAATTAAATTAACTAGCATTTTACCCTTTAACATTGCACTTTCAACTTTCAGTTTGCAGCATTGCACTAAGGAGTGCAAGTTTCTTGAAGTGCTAATTTACAATCAATATTGGTGTGATTCAGTCTCTAGAAATTCTGTTAATGAATTGTTATAGTCATTCAATATTGTATATTTTGTTAATAAATTGTTACCGTCACTCAATAGTATTCTAATTATTTAGTCTACCTTTTCTTTTATTTTCAAAACATGGAGGATGAATCAAACTCATGTTTAAATTGAAATTGAGATGTAGATGCAAGCTCTTCTCTTTTGAATAAGGTAGATTCATATATGAAAGAAATTGACAATAAGTTCTTTTAAAATTGACTATTTATCTCTCTATTAAAGGTGTTCTAGAAATGTCCGCGATCGAATAAATAACTCTACAAACGAATGGATCGGATCGAGTTGAAAAATGAAAAAATTTATACAAGTTATACCCTTCATTGCCACTTTGCGGACTTTCAACTTTCAGTTTGCACCATTGCACTAAGGAGTGCAGATTTCTTGAAGTGCTGATTTATAATTAACATTGTTGTAATTCAGTAGTTTTTGTAAATTCTATTAATGAATTGTTATCGTCATTCAATATTTTTCTATTAATATTGTGTATATTCTAGTAATAAATTGTTACCATCACTTAATTGTATTTTAGTTACTTAGTCTACCTTTTCTTTTATTTTAAAAGTTCACCTCTTTCTTTGTATATAAAACCAAAGAATGGTAACTATTACGTCACACTTTCACGTTCAATGTTTTCTCCTTTCTTTGCATTAAAAACAATTGGTGACAATTAATACCATGCTAGTTATTCTAACAGCTTAAATTAGTGGTGACTTGCTTGTTGCTAAGGAATATGTATTGTAATAGACCCAAAGATTTATATTGGAAAATAGATGAAATTACATTGACTAAAATGGACTTAGGAGAAAATTGCCTGGTAGTGATGAACCAAAACCAGACCTATGAGCTCTTTTAGAGTTCTACGCACTCTCTGCCAAGCAGAAAGTGATTATGATAGGACCTTAAGATTTATACTAAAATATAAAAGAAAACTATTATGATATCACAAGGAATTTTCCCAAGTCTTGCCATAATTACCTCAGACGGGCTACTTGGAAGGAAAGAAATGTGCTCTTGCAGCGCAAAGTTCCTAATATTTACCATCAGAAGAGCCATTTCCCACAGGAATGACTTTTGTTCAATAAACCAAAGTAACTAATCCTTTATTTTAATAGTATTAAAGGACCATACCTCTTGGCAAATCACTCCCCACCGTTTTCTGAAATATGACATTGACATTGGTATCAACAAATTCATAACTTTGGGATATGTGGCACTCATCTTCAAAGTTTTGAGAGGTCAAGTCCAAATTGGGGGTGTCGATCAGATCTGTTTTAGCTTCCTAGGAATATTTAGCAATGAGGGAAGCTCCAATTTTAGTCAGCAATCTAGGATGGTTGTAGGTCTGTTTTGAATCGAATTGCTTAGATCTGGTAAAAGCCTATAGAGAATCAATATTGATGTGATAGATTGCTCAGTTTATTGAGGACATTCTCAAGCTAAAGTATTAGTTGGTAAAGTGGAGTTTCACAAGACAATACGAGTGGAAACAAGAGTTACTCATGTAGTGATGGGAAAGGTCACTGAGAATGGTATCTTTAATACCATGTTAAAATTAAAAGTATTTAGGAAAAGAAGTACCAATACAAGTGAAATAAAGACCAATAATATTCTCTTGTGCATACTAGTGTGTATGATGAGTGCAAAATAGAAAGCACTAAACCCATACTTATGTTAATTATAGACTCTTATTCCAATCATAATCAAATAAAAAGGAAATATAATGAGATATAAACCCCTTATGTGAGATAATATAGAATACTCTATTATTCAAAGATATACTATAAAATTACAAGCTTTTTCTAAACATTTTTACAGGGATCTTAACACGGCCTTGAGTAGTAACAACATACACATTCATATAAGCAATCAAAATGTTGACATAAACTAGTGATTATACAAAGAACCTTAAGAATCAATGAATGCTCGAGCAATTGAAGTTACAAAAACCCAACTTAATCACTCCACATGACTTACTTTGTATCGCACCATCTACTGTTAAGCACCACGATGACCTACAAAATCTATGCAGTTTATTTTATTTTATTAGTAAAGAAAAAATGTTTACAAATCAAAAGTTCTTTATGTTCAAGTCAGAGTGGTATTGGAGAGAAAGCCAAGGGTCTCACTAATACAATTTGGATCAGTATTCTCTGATGATTTTTCTTGCTCTGCAACAAGCATAAGCATCTCTAGACGCTTGTCAAATTGCAGAGCACTCTCATCTCTCTTGTCCAGCGCAGCAGCTTCAATTTCAAGCCATTTCTCACGTAAATCATCAAGAAGATTTCCTTGATCAGAATTTAAAGCAGATCCAGGAATGCTTGGGACAGTGGTACGAAGAGATGAGTCTCCAGATGGTGGAGGCAAAGTCAACAACATTGCCCGGAATTCTTTAGTATCAGCAAACGTTTCAAAATTACAAGCAGTGGTGTCTAGACAATATTCCCGAATCTTGAAAACACCATACCTACATACCATCAAAATATTAACGTACAACTAAATTAAAATATGATCAGGTTCTGTTTGATTATTATATCTAAACTATTTTCACCATATAGCATAAAATTATGAGAACAAATATTACTTATCATGGAAAAATAAGGAATATGAGTGTAATTCACCATACCTACAATACTTTGTAGTTATGACCTAGGAATCATTTAACAAACAAATGATTTCACTTATAACACAATCTTAAAGTCAATTAGTTCAGCGGTGATAGAATTAAGAGGAAACAAGAAGAAAATATCTATTCAATTTTCTCGAATAGTGATATTCTTCCTAAAACTTGTGCAAATCATCATTTCCAAAGGATATTAATGATCTTTCTTGAATTCTCTTTGGTTTTTCCTTCTGAATTTCATCCTCTACAATAGGCAAGATGAATTATAGAATCAACAAGTTTTAAAATCCTAAATCATCTTATTCAACTCTATAGTGGATAGCAAAGCTTAGTGACCGACCCCAAAAAATTCTATAGTAGATAGCAAGATGGCCGTTATTCTGAATTTTTTTTATGTAAATTACATAATTTATGCTGTATATATAAATGATAAAAAAGTTTAGAAAATAAATACTAGAATTTATGACATATTTTAGTTAAAAAAAAAATACAAGTATATAGCAATAAATGTCAAGAAAATAAACAAGTTTTAAGCCCCTCCTAACTCAATGGCATAAAGAAACAAAACATTATAGACCAAATAAAACTACAACTGAATAAGGAGAGAATTCAGACCAAAGAAAAAGAACAATAAAATCAGAAACCAATAAAACAGAGAAAAAGTGAAGAGTACAGGGAGAGGAGAACAACTTGCAGGACAGTAGCAAAACAAAGGGGAAAACAGAGCACTTGGCTGAGAATGCAGAACAACGGTTAAAGAACAGAAGTTTGCCAAAAACACAAGATACTGGCAGGAAAACATTGGCAGCTCACCAGAAATTCACCAGAGAGCAGTCGGTTGATAGATCACACAAAAATAAAGAGCCAAGCCAATGATGCTTAGCTGGCCATTTTGGATGATCAGCCACAATGGGAATGGGACACGGCCTAGACTCCCACGTAAGAGAAAAGAGGGTGAGAAAAAGGGAAGAGGCAGTGTCAGTTTTTCTAAACCCATTTATAGCTTTCTTATTTCAACCCAAAATACCCCCATACATGGATCTGCAACGTTAAAAGTTTAGGACATCTTTGGGATTTCGAAAAATTTCAGTAGTGGCCAAGATGCTGTGAAACCATGATTTCCACCACTGTTGCAGCTGTCGACTGTGGCGTCTGCAGCAGCCACAACAGTAAAACGCAACATGACAGACTTGGAAGCAGCTGGCCACTGCAACGCAATATGATACCCGCTATAGCGATGCTGTCATGCACTATTCCTAACCTAGATACTCTTTTGAAATTGCTAACCTTTAGATATCTTACCCCCTAATAGTCCATCCTTTCACAGCAGACAGTGCAGGAGAGCATATTCGACAAGAAACAATGCTACACAGGTTCCTCAGAAATAATTAATACTACCTGGACAGGGACATTTTACTTGTTTCAAACTTAAACATGTTCATAACTGCACCCAAGAAAAGCTAAATAACACTAGTCAGATCAATTACTAAAACACGAGTAGACATTTAACTAACCTATTCAGACAAATAGCTTAAATAAGTACCTATTTGAGTCAAGATTATCTTTTTAAATAAGCTATAGCAATATAAGTGGAGTCCAAAATAAATTAAATGAAACTAGTAAGGCACAACTATTGCAAAAGATTGAAACAATTATGTAAATATATGAAAACAAAATAAAGAAGTCAAGGAAGAATGGAGAATCCCATCCCTCCCCCTGGGCACATATCAAAGAAACAACAATAAGAACAGGCATATCAAGTAAGATGAAGGAAGGAGACTGGCAGGAAAAGCAAAATACATGTCTGCTAGTATCAACCAATGGCAAAGCTCTTCAGGTGACACAATTTCCAAGTGGGGCAACAAGACATCAGCCACCGCTCGCTTAAGAGGAAACAATAAGTATCTAGAAGCAACATCCAACATTTCCTCAGCCTGCTCAAAGCACATTAATTAATATTAGAGAACAGAAGGACAAATCAATTTTACATAAACCTATATGGATGTAAAAAAACCTGATCTGGATTTATATCCTGCAAACCATCGGTGTACCTGATCCAACATAGGGCAGAAGAAAATTCATGAAAATCATATTTGCCAAAGAAAATTGATTTACAGATACACTTATATATCATTGCAGAAATTTCATCGCGTTCAATGCTAGATACAAAATCTGGGCAACAAAAGCATAAAACACAATTATCCATACACAGCCTGGCACAGAAGTAATCATCATTAAACTCGAAGCAATATAAATAGGTTTCATTCAGTCTCGACAATCTGAAGTCATAACCAGAAAACTACCTAAGAAACTATACCACTTGATAAATGTTTACAACCACACAACAATTGATTGTGTTCAGTCATCTTGTTATATATTCCTAGTTCCAATCTGCTATAAATACATGCATACAGAATAAAACAGAGATGCTGATTGGCCAAATAATCTAAGGTTAACGAGGCAAATGTTTCGAATTTCCAAAATTCACAGTGAGGGGAAGAGACTCACATATATTCAATCATTTTCTCAAAAGCTTCCGCAGTCAAATCACGTTCTTCAAGACAAGGAAGGAAGTCAACAGACAACTCATCCTTGCCTTCATGGAAGTCCTTAATTCGCGACAATCTCGCTTTGAAATACTCAGACCTCGAAGCCAGAACAACCCGATGGCACCGGAAAATCTTTCCATCCACTCTCACGCAAACATCAGCAAGATCGTCATGCAGAGACTCATCAATTCCATCTTCTCGACCACTCAAATTCAAAAGGATTCGACGCAACGCCGCAGGAAGCCTATCTTCTTCGGGAAGGGAAAGAGCCTGCAAAATGTAGCGTTTCTGAGAATTATCAACCTCTCTCAACGCCTTATATTCCGCATATTTCTGATGAACCACTTCTTTTTCTAGAATCTTCTGGAGCGATTCCAATTTGCACACTTTGCAGATTCGCACGAGATCCTCCATGTCATCGACGGCAATCTCTAACCTGTCAGAGTAGAAGAAGTGTATGAGGCTATAGAGTGCGGAATATGACAACTTTTGCCGCGAGAATCTCACTTCGCTGCGCTCCTTCCAATCGCTCATGAACTTTCTCTTGAAAAACGGCGACCGCGCACTTAATACGACACGGTGGGCCTCAATGGGCCTTCCTTGGACAACGAAAACGACATCCGGAGGGAAAAACGACCCCGCTTGAGCAGGGGGAAAATGAGAGTGTGTCGTTTGGCGGTTGGAGGGGCAAGACAAGAAGGTGTCGCGGAGAGAGGCTTGTAAGGGAAGCAAGCGAGGGGGGCGAGCTTCGAAGGCTTTAAGGAGTTTGCGGACTTTAAGGTTGAGTGCGGCGTAGTGGCAGCGGTCGCCGTCGAAGGTGTGTTCGGAGCATATGGCGCCGTTTTCAAGGAGCATGCGTGCGGCGTCAAGGTGCCCCGCTAGACAGGCATAGTAGAGCGCCACCGAGTCCCACTGGTCGCGCGCGTTCACGTTCACCCCCGACTCCAGAAGATAGCACAGACGCTCCACGTCGCCGGCTCGTGAGGCCTCGAATACGTCGCCGTTTGGGACCTTCTTCAGCGGAACGGAGGCGGCGAAGTCCGAAGGGTCGAGGTCGATGCCGTCGTCGATGAATGTCATCACTCACCGGCGATTCTGATTTTGATAAGGACAATTGGATTATGTATTAAGGTGGCAAGTGGGTGCCAATTGCCAAAGCCCCAACCATAGCAAGGGTTTCTGCTTCCTGTTCCTGCTTTGCACCGCTCTAGGACCCCTCTACTTCGGTGTGACTGCATTTGTTTTGGCAAAAAATATTAGAAGAAATGAAAAGTTGTGTTTGAATATTTTGTTTTATATAATAATATTTTTTTATTTTTTTATTTCATTAAAAATATTTTTGCAAATAATATGAAAATATTAACAATATTATATTAATTTTTAGTTTTTGTTAAAATAATTTTTTATTATTATAAAAAAATATTTTTTTTTAAATTTTTTAGAAGTGATTTTTCTTTAAAAAGTTAAATTTCAAAAGATATTAAACTCACTTTTAAAAACTAAATTTTGAAAATCACAATACAATACGCAGCAATCCTTAATTTCCTCAACCGTGCACCAAACCACACTAGCATCATCACACCAACACTATACGAGTACCTGTGTTGACATTGTGTGCCATACTAATACTAATGTTGAACGTGCATTAGTGATGAGTGTTGTATTAGCGTTGTTCCGAACCAACACCAATGTTAACGCCACACCATATCTACATTAGTGTTGACCCAACAACACACTAATAACACATATTTGTGCAACATAGTAAAACACCACAATTAATGTTGCATTAGAACTTGCATTGCATCACTCCATCACTATCATCATCGTTACACTAGTAGTTGTATCATACAAACCTAGAATTGCTCCAGCACATAGTGCGTTGTGTTAGATAAACACTAGCACTAATATCACATAGCAATATAGCACTATAGCTTTGTACCAACACTAGCACTACACTGGACCAACATAACTTTGGTGTTAACGCAACATTGGCCATTTGGCCCGAACTGTGCTTGATCCACATTGTAAGTAGTTTTATATAGTTAATTGTGAAGAAAATTAGAATAGTAACAATAAGGAATGTATAAAAAAAAAAAACTAAAATGACTATTTTCAAAACAATTTTTTTTGCAATTAAAAGGTGAAAATTATTTGTGTTTGACCGTAGAATTCGTGATTAATTTTGTGTTTCAATGCAAAAATTACAATAAGCTAAAAGAAAGTAAGAAAAAAAAAAAAATACAAGATTGCAACATGATGATACTGCAAAAAGGAAAAGTTGGTTTCTTAGTCACAACATTCACTTCACAATGTTCACACTTTTTGGTCTTAATTAAAAGCATCAAAGATACATAAGTTAGGACACATCATTTTTTAATGAACTAACATTTTAAAATTTAACGTGTTAATTTTAAAGTAATTTAAAATATGAGTGTTTAGAATGGCCCAAAAACTACCTGGGTCATAATTTGATTAAGATCGGGCTCAATTGCAAGTCTTACTCTAAGACATAATTAGGGGTCAGAGTCCAGGTAATAATGACAAAAGAACAGACTCTAGATAACCAAGCAAGACAGACTGAAAGTAATGCAGAAATATGAAGTTACAAGCAAGGAAAAGTGAGAAGGGTGTCTGTTTTCAATTATTAGAGGGACAAGAGTGTGCAACTTTTAACAAATATTAGAGTGCCAATCCCAACAAAATGAAGCAAAAAGGATGTTCAAATACCCGAGGAAGAATATACGCTTCAAATACAGGATACAAGTTTTAGTAAAGACTGGAAAAGTATTTCGCTCACCTGAGAAAGCGCTCCTATTTTGTTATGTACTTAACAAATGTATAATTTGTCTGGATTCATAAACTATAAATATAAAAGAGATCCTCTGTGAATGAAGAGATCAAGTGAAAAAATACACAACTTCTACTCACAGTATTTTCATTCACTTGCCTTGTTTCATTCTTCTTTCCTTTATACTTCTTAAGGTTATGAACCCATTTCTTTAAATTCCATTCCAAAACAATTGGCGACTTCATTGGAGAAGTGTAGGGCTTGAAAAAGAAAGAATGATAGAACAAGGCATTACACCAAGGCGATTGTCTTTTAGTTGGGAGGATTTTCCAGATATTGGGCTTGTTAGTGCACAACAAGAACAAATCACCCATCCACAAGGATAAGAGAGTAACGAAAGAGAAGCAAACCTCTTAAGCCAACTTGAAACACCTCTCTCGAACTCCTATGTACCGTCAATACTAATCCCAACCTCTGGTCTTGACTCAATACTTGCCAACCAACAAAGTCTGACACAGTTGATGGCTCACATAAAGGTAGACAACCAACCTCATTACCCTTATCAGGTGATTCAACGCAACATTTCGAGTAGAGAGCACCTTAATGCTGATGATGCAATAGTAACACAAGGAGAGTTGCGACGACTCTTACAAGGGTGCAAAGACAAATGCAACATGCTTGAGGACATGGAACCACCCTTGGTTTCATAAATAGCCTCACGCCTTATCTAGTAGGATACCAACCACATGCATTCCGAAAGTTCGATGGATCAGGAAGTGTAAGAGAGCATGTAATGACCTTCCTGGATGACCTAGGAATATACAGAAGTGACAAAGTGCTCTAACTAAAAGAATTTTTGAAATCACTTACTGGAAAGGTGTTCACGTGGTACGCCAAGTTACGCCCTTATTCTATCAAAGACTAGGAGGAAATGGTTGTAATGCCCTGAGTTTTGTAATTATTTTATAATAATTATACATATGTGTATGTTGGGATTTTGATGTGCATTTTTATTTAAGCTGGTGATCTAGATGTGTAGATCGATATGTTGTGGTTCAAATGAGAATGTTTGCCTATGAATGGACTGAAAATGCTTGAGAGTATAGGATGATGTGTGCTGCAGGAACATTCTCGCTATAGCGAGAAGGTCCTGGGTAAGTAGGTGTGTCTCTGTTGCATTCTCGCTGTAGCGAGAGGCTCCTCGCTGCAGCGATAGGGCAACAGATAGAGGTGTTTTCTGGGTTCAGTCTCGCTACAACGAGATTATACAAAAAACTAAGTGCAGTTTTGTCTGATATTTTTGCTGTAGTGAGAAGGGGTCTCGTTATAACAAGAATATCACGACGTTTAGGGTATTTGAGGGGTTTAGGGTTTGGGAAACACATTTCCCACCCTTTCTCTTCATTTCTCCTTCGATTCTCTCGACCCCTCTTCCTATTTCACTAATTAAACTGCCTCCAAAGCCGTTTATGTCCAAGATTAAAGATTGTAATCGTGTTTTGGCCGTTTAGAGGTACGTTTTCTATGCTAGGGTTTTCATTTTCACCCTCTCCTCGTTCTCCTTGGTTTCTCATGGAGTTTTCCATGTATTTAACACAAAAATCCGTATAAGAAACAATTCTTCCATTGATTTCGTAGTAGGTCTTCATTCCGAGGTAAGGAGGGACTCTACCCTATCTCTTTGTGTTTAGAATTCATTTAAATCATTATGTGTTGGAATGTGATTGAGATAGAATGTAGGAAAATGTGTTTATTGATGGAAATTTCATATTAACCATAATGTGGTAGATATTGGATAATCTCTGTGTTGAAAAAGGTTTGATTTGCAATAGGGTTGTGATGGAAATTATGTGTTTAGGTATAATGTGGTTGAATGTGTGCATACATGTCATGTGTGAAAATGATTACATGATATGATTGAGAATGCAGGTGAATGGCATGTTGATTGTGTTTGAAATGAATAGTTACAGCGATACACTAAGAGTGTGGAAGATGTGAATGGTAGAAATACCTTGGCGAAAAAAAAGTGGTGGTGACAGCAACAATGAACGTGGGTGCACCACATGCCACACACTCTTCTCCTGACTCAGCCTCTGACCAATACCTTTGCTAAGGAACCTATGACCGCATACGTTGTATTAGTGAGGCGGGGGCTAACTGGCAACTATCCATGGTGTAAAATTGAGTAAGTCACTGAGGTTGAGAGTATCAGGAAACTGTGATCACAGTGCCACACCAAGCGTGCAGTGAATGCATGTGTGTGGATTGATTTAAGGTGCAGTGAGCGCACCTGTGCATAATTGTTGTGTGATGACGTAATATGAATTGGTTGTACAGTAAGTGTACTTGTTTGTATGAGTTGTCTTGTGTGGTAGTGTGAACTTGATGCACGTGTTGTTGAAAAGAAGTGATCAAGGCTTGTTTAAAGTATAAATTAATTGTGTTAGGGATGACTTGAAATACGCAAGGTGAGTCTCCATGTTGTGTTTGTGATAGTGTAGATGACTTATCCTTATTTATTTTTCAGGTGACTAAGACGATCAGCACCAGGCTCAGTAACTGGGGATGGATAATACTACTATAAGACTTAGAAAATTTATTTTGAAATTGAAATGCATTAAATAGGTCTTGTAGCTTTATTTTGATTTAAACTTGTAACCCATCCTATATTTTAAAATACTTTATTGAAATCCTGTGTTGGAAACAATTGAAATGAAATTTTATTATTCTCATTTTATTACAAAAATATCCCACTGAAAAATGTTTGAAAATAAATTAAGGTGTTACAATGGTGATTAAATTCTACAACAAATTCATGGAAGAAGAAGGTGCTTTGCACATTATGGATTTGGCGGGCTTAAAACAAAAGGTGGGAGAAGGGCTAGTGAGCTTCATCAAGAGATATTGAGATTATGCCCTACAATGTAAAGAAACACTCCCTGAAGTAGACTTGGTGTACGATTGCATAAAAAAATATGAAAGACGGATCACAATTTTTTTTGTTGATGAGGGGTATATCAACTTTTGCTGAGCTACTAAAAAAGGCTGCAAATGTGTTAGAAGCAATGAAATGACAAGGCAAAAGAACAAGAGAAATAGACTTTTCGAAGGAGGTATATGCATCAGAAGGAAAAAATAAAAGGAGAAGTCATGGAAATGGCAACAGAAGTTTCACTAGGAAAGATTTGCCAGTTATACCCCTGAATAGAAAGCAAACAAATGAGCTTGTTGAAGAATGGTTGAAAGATGGGATCATCAAACAATGACATGAGCGGCCTCTATTATCTAAAGAAAACTATGACAATCCAACGTTTTGTGTTTTTCATAGAATAAACTCTCATGGAACGATTGACTATTTGGTTATCAGAAGGGTCTTCTAGGAGCAACTAAAGGAGGGGACGACAATATTACTAGAACGAAATGAAGGAGGAAGTTTCAACAAACGCCCTCTCCCTAGTCATGGAATAAATGCAATCA